TTTAAAGTGAGGTTCAATTCTCAGATCAATCTGCGCGTTGCAGGCTCTGATAGGCTCAAAATAGGCTCTGATACACCGAAAAAATTGTATTCTTGTTTTGAGGATATCCCACTTACTTCAAGTATATTTTATACTAAAATAGGCGCCAAGAAGAGTTTCTTATTTTAAGAGGAAAATCCTCTAAATAGTAATATTGATAAGAATATATACTGATTAGAATATAAAAAAACTCTATAGAAAAACATATATATCTCACTATCGAAAAAGACTATATTCTTAAATAAAGAATATATTCTTAAATAAAGAATATATTTTTAATTTCAGAAGAATATCATCTAAAATCTTTAAGAAGATTTTTTAAGTATAAAATCTTCTACTTACAAGAATATAATTTTTTCCGTGTAGGCTCAAAGTAGGAGTAAGAAAAAAAGTAGATGCTACTTTGACGCCGCTGTACGTCCAAAATTTCCTTTTTTCAAAAATTGAGGTTCAATGTAGACGCTAAATTTCGACTCGGGTAAATAAATAAATAAATAAATAAATAAATAAATAAAACGAGTAAATTACAGACGAGTTTTGGGAAATTAACAAGAGCGTTAATAGCGTTAGACGTATTAACAAACGTGGACGTATAAGCAATATTTCGTGAACCTTCGATACGTGTGTATGAAATGTCTGGTGTGTGGGGTTTTAACGAGGAACGGAACACGTATTGTTTCGTGTAACGCGCGGTACAGATGCGCCGAATAAGCTTAACCGCCACACAGCTGCCATACATACGATGTGGCTTATAGCAACGGTAATGCAGTTAAATTCGTACACGTTCGCAAGAGAAAACGGAGGGTAGGGGGAGATAGGCGTAAATTGAATGACCACACAGCGAGAACTCCGTTAACCGCGAACCCCCTTCAATCAGAATTAGAGGGGGGGGATCATCTTTTTCTTTTGGTCGCGAGCGCGCATCCTCTTTACGCTTAAATAACGCGTAACTAATTTTAAGCCTCTTACAAATTGCACGAGCGCGGTGCAATTAATTGTAAAGTAACAGAAAGAAAGAGAGAGAGAGAGAGAGAGAGAGAGAGAGAGAGAGAGAGAGAGAGAGAGAGAGAGAGAGAAAAGACGTAAATTCTTCTTCGTTCGAAATCGTTTGGAAATTTAAATAAGGAAACTAAATGTTCGTTTGCACAGTTCAATGGAAGCGGAATTGGTTTAAAAACTGTGAGAAAATTAAATCTCGCTACTTGTTCCAAATTCTCGTTCGATTCGCGCGTGCGTGCGAAGATGCGTTTTTTTTTTGCGACAATTTGTTCGCGCTATTATTTCGCATTTCAGGACAACTCCGGCGCACCGGACCGATATCGTTCGTTTGATCAAAATTATAAATAAAGGAAAAAAAAAAGAAGTCAAATAAAGTGCGAGCCGACGATATAGACAGAAATAGAAATGCCGAGTCGGAAAAAATAACATATACTGTATGTCGAGCTATTTGGAAACGCTTTTGTATAAATACACATACGCGCGCGCACACGTGTATATAAGCTCTATATAGTCTATGGAATTAAGCGCAGATTGCAAACGGGAACCTTATAAACGGCGGTTAAAATAAAATATTCATTACGCGCAACCGCCGCGGTTATATTACGTCAATTATTTTGCGATGGATGTCACGGGCATTTCATTCTCGGGAAAAGTGAGAAAAAAGTCAGGAAGAGACGGGAAGCGAATCATTTCATCGTCTCACGGCCGTTCCGCGGCGGCTTAATTTTATCAAACGCCTGTTTTCAGCATCGCGCGTCAATGACCCCCTCTCTCTCTCTCTCTCTCTCTCTCTCTCTCTCTCTTTTTCTCTCTCTCTCTCTCTTTTTCTGTTCAACGAGGTTCTTTTTCTTTCGCGGCATCAGCTCGAGGCGCATTCCTAGTAAAAATAAGCGAGTTCCTCCGGCATGGCTTGTTTCTGCAATCACGAGAGGAGAGCGCGCGAGAGAAGGAAAGGCGCGCGCTGTCATCGTCGCCGTCGTCGTTGTCGTCGTCGTCGTCGTCGTCGTCGTCGTCGCTCGTCGTTGTTGTGTTGTTGTGGTTTTAATGCAACCGTCTCTACACTTCAGGACGCGCGATATACGCATTACACGTTACCGCAAAAGACGTGAGTAACGAGATGCCGATGCAAAAGAAGTGTTTCTCAGACGAAGACGCGATGATCGCGAGAAGTTGGAATTACCTTTTTTTTTTTTCTTTAATGTACATCTAGGTTTTATTTAAAGGAATGTGCAATATAAATTTGAGACCGGTATACTAGCGAAGAAAAAACTGCGTTTTAGCTTCGAGCTTGAATTTTCTCCGTTCAAATAATAGTTTTTTTTTTTTTTTCGATATATATAAATTTTCTTTTTGTTGAAATTACTTCTGATAATATTATATTATAAATGGAGATTACTTTCTATACGCGCGTGTGTGTCATATGTGCGCAAAGAAATCTTCTCCAAATCTGTCTGTAATTGAATCGCGTCCGGGTTAAGCTGATTATAATTCGAAAGCGTTTCCGCGTTCCGCGTTTCTCTGTTCCTTGTTTCTCTCCTTCAGAACTGAGGGCAGCGCACCCCCAAGCGATCCCCGTAGCGACGACGAGGATATAGAATAAGTTCTCAAATTGCGGCTGAAAGGCGAGCAGTGACTATCGATCGGTCGCATTGAGAAAAAGAGAGAGAGAGAGAGAGAGAGAGGTTAAACAAACGAGTTCTATGACTTTTCCCTGACTTCTAAATATATCTTATCGACGTAGAGAACGCGATTCACGCAGATGAAGACGGGAGGCGCGCGTAATAACTTATCGTAGATCGGGGTTACTTTGATCCGGAGCGCGCGCGCGCGATCATTTTCTTGATGAGATTTATACTGTCGGGATATTTTGCGCCGCTCTGCTAGTTTCAAACTCTTGAGAACGACAAGCGCGCTCCGTTGATCCGAGAGGTCTTTCGTCGCAAATTGTTGAACAAGAAGAAAATCGCGAATGCAATTATTGGTAGGTAATTTTAAAGTTGAACATAACTTTTTCCGATTCTCATCTCAGATAAATAAATATTTTTAAAAAGAATCGCGCTGTTACATTATGTAAAAAAATAAAATAAAATAAATAAATAAATAAATAAATGTAAAACCTTTACATTTACGAGACTTTCTTCTTCGAGTTCGAGTGTAAGAAAAATATCGGTGTTCGCGCGGTGTTCAATAATGAAGATTTCGCATTTACGCTTATCATTCTAGTATTGTATTTTTCTTTTTCTCTCTCGGTGTTAAATGAAAGATGCAAACCGACGCAGGAGATTACGTAGAATTGGAATATTATCGCGAGACACATTCAACGTTATCGTCCGTACAATTTTATCCGATAATAAAAACTACACACTCCAATATCCTCAACGTCGATTTGCCGCGCGCAAAGAGAGAACGTACGCTCGTGAATTCCGTGAGAGAGAGAGAGAAAGAGAAAGAGAGAGAGAGAGAGCACACACGCAAGCGAAGAGAATAGATAAAAACCAACGATCGCGTTCGAAACGATCTTGCGGTGCGGTTACGTAACAATTATCGCAAGACGGTCGCAAAATAATTAGCGTTTTCTAATCAGAATTCTTTGTTACGATTTTTCAATTAACGTATAAATTAACATTTTCTCGTCGCTCTTTTTCCACACAAACTATAACCCGCAGAATGTGTGAACGCAAAGTTCCGTATGAATTTTTTATACGCGGATATGCGGTAAACGCGAACGAGAAAAATTCTTCATGAATATTCTGACCGGCGGACCGGGGGTACGGTAACGGAAACGTGGTCGCTACACGGTGGTCAAAATCGCAAGTAGATTCTCGATTTTTAGATATTCGATTTTTAATGTAATTTTGTTTTCGAAAAAAAGAATTTTTTCTAGATTCGCGCGGATTCAGAAAAATGTTTGTCCACAACGACGACGTACCCTTACGAAAAATAACTACTGCCGCTTACATATAAATAAAGTCAGTAATATAAATATTATTGACAATCACATAAGAATATTATTAGATATTACAGGAATCACTGAGAATATTACTGGCAATTACACAGAATGTCAGTAATTTTTTTATACCACTGCCGCAATATATTACTGCCAGTAGTTCTTTTTCGTAGCGCTTTTATATGACGATTCTCTGTTCCCAAGCAAGAACAGCAGTAAATATATAATATATAAATTATATTTTATACGCGTGGTAGGGGTGCCGCGTTCTTGTCTAGCCATTTAAAACTGATCGACAACATTGTACATGAGATACGGTTTTTATAAACTCTTTTTATGGATCGTTACTCGAATATATTCAAATGCATACCAAATCTTTTCCTCCCCCGCCATTTTTAACGCAATAAATGCAATTTCGTTGCCCTCGCAGCGTGAAATTGCGTTTGAGAAAAAAAAACAATTGTTATATTCGCGCGCGCGCGCGCGCTCAAAATATCGCTACATTATTCGAAGTTTGACATCGCCGTTGCTACGTGCGCATTTTAATCCCGCATGTCGTTCCATCTCATTACGACACGGAAACTTAATTAAAAAAAATAATGATACAAAAACCTAGTTTTTTTTTCGAACGTTTAAATCTACACGTGTGTACAATAACAATTTGAAATGCAGATAAAACATTTGTATTTACTTTTTTCGGAGAATTATTTTGAATTAAAAAATATAGAAAAAAGAAAAACTTGTGAAAGAGATAGATATATATTTTTTTCGATATAAATATTCCGATATTCACGGAGTAATAAATCATCGTCAACGTTCGCACGTACCTGTCGTCGACGGCAAATTTTTTTCGCTATTTTTTCCATAGTTTTTACAAATTCGAAAATAAACAACAAAAATGAAACGTGTCACGCGCGACACGTGTATCCGTATCGTTTCTCACAAAATTTGCGATAATATATATATATATTATTTATTATATAATACGCGAAAATGAACAAAAAAGTCCACTCACCTCGTAGAAGTAAAACGAGTCGATCTCCTCCGTCGTGTTGACGTCGGGCAACGACGTAAAGTTGACGTAATTCAACGAGGAATAGATCTCGGTGACATTTTTCAATTCGGTGCGCCAGTCCGCATCGAAATCGACGAACGTCTGATTCCGCTCCTGGTTCGCGTCCTCGGACATGTTTATTACAATCGACATCCGCACAATTTTGCTCGAGGGTTCTCGCTCTCCTGGGACTCTCCTTATGAAAGAGTCATGACTTCGATTGCGAACGATGGCTTCACATTCGTCTGCGCGTGATTGTTTTTACCGCGCGCTGAGAGAGAGAGAGAGAGAGACGCTTCGACTCGCGCCGCGCGGCTCGGTTTTCCACTTTGCGCTAGTTAATATACGTGCGGAGCAAAGCAACAAAAGCACGAGAGAAGCACGAGATTCACGAGAAGTCGTTTATTCGTTCTTTCCCGACACACTCGACGCACTCGGGACAACTCGAACGACTCAGTTCGAAAAACATGTCCGAAACGGAGAGAAGTACGCACGTGCGTCGGGCATAAGTCTCATCACTAGATCGCACAAGCGCAAAGAGAAGTATCACGATGTATCTAAATCCGAGAGTTATTGTTTGCGTCACTGATTGTAATCAATAATTGCGTTCATTGTGAAATTACGTTCTCATTGATAACCAAGTGTTCGGAAACAACGGCTTGTAATTGTTAATTCAATGTTAATTTTCTCAAAGAAATATCGCCGACAACTTGCGCGACATTATTCTATCTGAAGATCTGTAAACGCAAGAATAATAACTTCTTGAGTTTCGCCGTTCTCATTCAGCGAATCGCTGGATGAAACTTGGAGAAAAGTTTCATAGGTTGATTTGTTGAGAAGTGATAGATGTAATTTCGTGTTCCTTGAAATCCTTGCTTGTTTTGATCCGAATCTTAACGGACAGGACAAAGCGGAGCTATTTTAAGTTGGACAACTTTTTATTAATACTATTATAAACTTTTTTTACACTATTACGATAGACTAATGAGAACTTCGTTTTAAGAGATAGCGTATTAATCGAGCTCGTAAGTTCTTAAAATAATGCGTACATATTTCTCAAAAAATGTATGTATATGTTGAATAAAAAAATCACTGGCTCGGCGTATCTCGCTTATGGGGCATGTTGAAAAACCCTTTGGGACGGCTCAACGTGCCCCATAAGCAAGATACGTCGAACCAGTGATTTTTTTCATTCAACATACATTTTTTGAGAAATATGTACGCAATACTTTGAGGACTTATGAGCTCGATTAATATGCTATCTCTTAAAACAGTTCCAACCATCTCACGTTGAGATGAAAAATTTTTAATATATTAGTCAAATTTTTAATGAATTGTTTATCTCTTATTTATACAACAATCCGTAATATTTCTATGTAAAATGCTTTACTCAACAAGAATTGAAATAAAATCAAAAGCTCGATGTCTTATATAATAAAACTTAAACATAAAATTATACACAATGATTTTATAAATAATATTATTATAATATTATACAATTAAGAAAATCTTTTTAAGGCTCTGAAGTTTTTCAAACTAAGTAATAAATATGGTCAATAAGAGCCTATTTCCAGGATGTTGTGCGGAAACGTGCGTGTAGATATATATACGTATACGTATATATGTATAATTGTTCAACATGTAAATTTTTACACGTAATTTTTTTTGAATTGAAATTCAATTCTTAAAAATCATATAGGATTCAAAAAAATTCACGTGTAAAAATTTACATGTTGAACAATTATACATGTATACGTATTAGGTCTACCGGAAAGTTCTGTCCGTTTTTGGAATAAAACAAAATACAAAGTTTTCTTATCGTCAATAAACTTGATTAAATAATATAATTGCCATTATTATTAATGATTTCTTGCCAGCGTGAGGGCAATTTGTATATCCCATTTTTGAAAAATTATTAATATTTATAAATATATATAAATATATATAAATTAAAAAAAATTTGTATTTTGTTTTATTCCAAAAACGGACAGAACTTTCCGGTAGACCTAATATATATATATATATATATATATATATATATATATCTACACGCACGTTTCCGCGCAACATTCTGTGGAAACAGGCTCTTATTGACCGTATTTATTACATAGTTTTATAATATTATAATTTTTTATTTTTTTAATCTAAATAATTTCGATGCAGAAAAACGAACAAACTCTCGCGTGTTCGCCCGTTGAAGACAAGTACACAGAACTAGGTGTACAACACCCGTACTCTCCGCGCTTTCTTAGGACGTGCAGTCATCAACACGTCCATACGCGTTTCGGTTACCGAAGATATTTACAAGTCCCAACTTGTCCCTACACACAACTAGCCCCGTTCTATCCTACGCGAACTTCGAATGACATACATAATGTATCTACCGCGATGTCGCAACGAATTATCGCGCGCATATTAGCAGCAACAACGGGCTGACAAGTGTTATGTTAGCGAGACACACTGGGGCGAATTCTCGTTGTCTCACGAAGCGCCGTCGCTTTGACGAACGGAGCGTAAATTTCTCTCTCGCAATTTTGTCTTTTGTCACGAGTCAGTTGATTACGTCGCGTCGCGATGGTCCGTGGCGTGTGGAATACGTGGCGCACAATACACAATTTTGCTTTCTCATTTAGACGCCATTTATATTTCTTCTGGTCGTCAGTATGCAAACTCAATGTGAAGGGGGTATTCATTTTCACGCGGCACAATTATTCAGCAATTATTATATTAATTCTTTTCAGCAGAAGTAAAATAAATAAATCGATAGAAAAAAAAAAGAAAAAACAAACAGTTTACCGTTAACGTTAAAAAAAAAAAACTTCTGTCTTATAACACGTGGAACAAGTAAAATGTTTATCGCCAACAATGATTCGCACTATTAATATATTTGAATATTATAATTCTTCCATCAGCATACAATGGCATACAATCACGCTTCAAGCAGCTGTTTCTCTTTTTCTTTTTGTTTTTCTCTATCTTCCGGGAAAAAAAAAATAATATTCCAAAGTTATTTCGAGATATGTTGTACGTTATTGAGCAGCTGTCCAACGTGGAAAAAAAAAAAAAAAACAGATGGTTCATATTTTAACGTAACGAGACATCCTCAGAGAGACATTAAAAATAATATTCCAAAAATTATCTCGCGCGTTGAATTGCTTCCTCCTTTTTCGCGTTGAAATATAAGAGAAGTCGCGTAAAGGGTTGCTGCGCGCACGCGCGCGTTTGCACGAAAAGCACAAGTTATTATCTATTATTCTCCTTCCTCTGGCACATTGCGCGCACAAAAGAGCTCTCGTATCTCTTGTTGATATATATTTTTGAGCGAATGCAATTTTGTTCACAAATGCGTATAGTAAGTTCGAAAATATCCCGATGTGTGCATATCAAGAGAGAGAGAGAGTGAGAAATGCGCCGCGCGCGTTTATAGCTTTTGTCGGTGCTCGAGTGAATTGAAAATGAACACGACGCTTTCTCGCGAACTGATAGCACGGTTCCTCTGAAGAGACCAGAAGCTTGAAAAGCGAGGATTAAACGCGCGAATATAAAAATTGTGTTTTACCAAAACCGCACGTGATTTTGTCGAACGTCTTACGCGGCGGCAGCTATAAATGCGTATGCGCGCCTCATATCTCATTCATATATTGCCAACGTTTCTTTTTTAATTACATGTATATGCATTCACATGATAGCAGCGGAGTTTATATTTAACCGTACAAACATAATGAGAATAACGAAGCACAAACGCGCACACGCATGATATTTTGCTCAAGAGAGATAATAACGCGTAAAAAATAAATCTGGAAATTAGCTAACTGTTTCTATATATATATATATAGTTTACACAAGATACGTATTACACGTGTGCAATGCGTTTTTCGATATTTTATCTTTAATAAATGTAAGAAAACAATGTGTGTTATGTGACAAAATGTAGATACAATTACTTTAAAGAATTATCATATGTATTCGAACGTGGTGCTTGAACGTTAATAAGAGGAACAAATCCGAAAGAAATAGCAAGATTAACAAATTACGTTTTTTTTTTTTTTGTTTTTAATTACGAGACCACTTTTCTGTTACGGAACTAATAGTTGACGTAAACTAAAATTATTCAAAAAATTAGTGTTCACGAGAAATAATTATTAAAAATTTAAAAAAATGAATCCTATCTAACTCATAATTGACCATCTATACACCTAATTATACATTAAATGACTGAAAATGTAAGTTTTGATTTTTTAAATCAACTAATAGTAAAATAACGATTACTTTTAATAGTAAGAATTAGTTTATAAAAACATTAAATTGTCAATTTAAAAATATTAATTTTAATATTCTTATATTCCACAAATAGGACCTTTATTTTGAATGCCTCTATTATGGTTAAACATATTTTTATTGTACCTTATAATTTCATCAATTCATTATTCAATCATAATCATACCACCGAAGGAAAAAAAAATTTTTTCTATAAAATCCAATAATAAATGATCTTACTCCTATTAAACCTAACCCCCCTCTCCCCCCCGGGTTGTGACTAAAATCACGAAGTTAGAACCGATATAATTGTAAACGGATTCACATTTCAAAACGGGGTTCACGTATCTCGCAAACGAACACAGAGATCAATTTTAGATATTCGCTTTGTGAACCGTGTGTATATACTCGGAAATTAGACTAATTTTCTATTCACACGCGTGCTATAATGGTACGTCCAACAAGCGAGTGACTTCAATCGTTTCAATACGCGCGTACAATTGACCGTGTCAATTGACGGATCTAATGTTGTTTACATCTAATATCAAAAGCAAACGAGAACTCCTACGCGCGTCTATGTGCACAGTTCATATTGTTAAACAAACGTTGATATCAAATATATTTTGAACCGACTGCTGAAACATTTCTGCGTGCATTATATATTTATCTTCTCAATTATCATTACATTTTGTTCCACATCTTATTTTACAACTTTGTATATTTTATGTATATATTTGATATATTTTAATATTTAACATAATTTTTATTTATTTTTTATTTTTTAGAGTTTTTATTTTTTATTTTTTATTTTTTATATACGAACACGTGTCTAGATTACATGCGGAGAATATATAGAAATAAATTGTATTTGTTTATCATTTTTATTATATAATTGTAGACGGAATGTTCATGTGTACGTTACTGATGATGATGTATTATCATTTTCACGTGAAAGCGCCCGTGTGCACGCGCTTTTTTTTTTTTGAGATCTATCTTCGCACACATCGCGGACAGAAACGCGCTCTATAATTAGTTTGCTCGGAAGAATGTATTGAATTTACTATTAACGAGAGATCAAAAAGTCGGAGATGCCGATTCGAGAAGCGCTCTCGAAGACACTTCCGTTTAAAGGGGGAACGCTCCGAACGAGAATTACCTCGTTCGGAGTAGTTTACCGCCATTGCTTTTCAAGGGGAGAGACTTCGCGACACGGGAAAAAATCCGAACGACGTCGTAAAACGAATTCTGAAACGTGTGTGTGTGTGTGTGTGGATTTTCTGGTTATCAGTTTCCGCGCAGACTAATTGAGTCAACGCGTAGGGATCCGTCCCGATCGGCACCCGCGATATATAACGTGCGGCTCCAACACACAATCCACGCGTATTTCGAATAACCGCGTGGTTCAATTTACGTGCAACGCGGGATTATCCGTTCATATTGCGGGATCGGAAGATCTTCTCAGAGAAGAAGCCGTAATACTTTATCGCGTCGCATACGTGTGTACACACACACATGTACACAAAAGCGCGCGATCATATTTTTGAAAAGAGAGAAAAGAGAGAGAACAAAAAAAGAAAAGATATTGCTTCGAGAGAAGTGACTTTTCTGTAAGAGACGACTGTGTGTGTCCCCTGTAGTGTGATATTTGTGTTGAGAAAAGAGTGGAAATTCTAACGACGCTGTTGTGTGTGTGTGTGTGTGTAGAATGCCTCCTCGGCTCTTGATGCATCTGTGTAGCACGAATGCCACAGAGATGCATCTGATACTGACAGAGAAATTTTTACCGGAACACTCATAACGTCTTTTCTTCTACGTTTTTTTGTCTTTTTTATATAAAAAAACAGCATTGTTGTCGCGTCCCAAGTTCATCGAGTTAAAAGTCAATTTACATTTTGCAGACAGACTTTACACACGCTGTGCATTTGAATGTATTAATAAACACAAGTGTCACGCACTAACATAATGCATTGATGCATCAACTACTACTGTTGAATCTATATTTTTGCGTTCTAAAACCGAAACAAACAAGATTTATTGTTTTTTTTTTTATTCTCCGTCTGAGAATAATAATTAAATATATCTTTTTTTGCGTGTATTCCGTTCTATGTTAAACGTGTTTGTGTGTATAACTAAAAAATTTATTACCTGTAGCGTGTCGACTCATCTGAAAAACTTGTTTATTTCACATTGCAAAATTATATATATATATATTATCTTCTTTCGCGCGTATTAGTTTAAAGCAATTAGAAAATAAATCAAAAATAAAACAGAAGTGCGTGTAGCACCTTGTACACAACTATTTATATATATTCTATTTATATATATCGTATTTTTTTTTTTTTTTTATATATATATATAGTATGTTGATCACATTACCCTATGATCGTATTATCAGAATCTCGATTATATTACATTTATAATTGCTCAAGCACGCGTAACAGCTCTCTCCGACCGTTTTCTTTTGAGGTACCGGATATTTTGAAGAAGAGGCGTTAGTTTGTGTCCGCTTGCGCGCGCGAGAGTCTGACCCGTTCTGGATTACTCTACTTGCCGCAAATCAAGGACGTTATGAGATGTTACGAGCTGCTGATTCTAAAAGGGATACTATCGACGATGGATGAGTCCTCTTTGATCTTTCACGTACGTTGTAATGTGTGTGTGTATGTGTATATAACTCACCATGATGCGCGAAAGCTACACGTTTATGCGTTCAAAGGAAAATACGATATCGACGATACGGGACCAATCGGGTAACGCATCGTTAGCGTTCGTAGCAATTTACATGAGATTATTATTAAAAGGTGTGGTCGATCTTTTTTTTTTTTTTTTTATTTCTTTTACCTACAATTAACGCGATCTGTCCGTTCGTGTGTGTGTGCGTGTGTAAAATGATTTTATTTGTTTCCCGACCATGCTGTTAACACAATATATCGCATTTAGACAAGATGAAATAAAGACAAAAAAGGAATATTAAGAAAGAGAAAGAGAGAAAGAAGGGAAACAGACAGACAGACAGACAGACAGACAGAAATATAACACTTTTGTTTAAAATAAACGAACGAACCGTCAGCAAAGAAAACTCGAATATTGCGCAAACTTTAAAACAGAAATTGCTTACCGAGTTATTTCATATTTTTTTTCAATCGGAATTTATAATCGGTTTCGAAACGCCAAAAAATTTATCATCGGCGCATTTGAGGCCGACCATCAATTTCGACTGAGAACAGAGAAGAAACAATTTCAATTTTGTACATGCAGTTTATGCGAATTTAATTGAGAACACTCTTTTCTGAAACCATAAATATAAAAATACTTGTCCCACTTGTTTTCGTTTCTTACATTCAAAAAATTTACGTTATATAATAACGAGAGAGCGAAACGCGATGTAATTTATTCCGAAACAGAGATAGGATAAGGAAAGCCTTACGTGAAGCTTTGCGAGAAGGTGAAGAATAGCTCTCGTCTTGCGACGAGCATTAAACAATATCTCGATAACGTATTCTCCGCAACAGGTTACCACCGTGCTCCCCCTCGACTCTTCAAGTAGTAGTTTGTTTTAAAGCGAGGGTCTCTCCGCGCGAGAGATCGGCACGCTTCATACATATTCCTATTTTTTTTTTTCGAGGGGAAAAATACACCAGTTTTATATGTCCCAAACATAGAGGGAATGGTAGAATGATGTGCAGCACAGTCGCGCGCGAACACTATCGACTTTGCTTCGCGATTTCGTTTTATCGATTATTCAACGTGCGCGAAAACGATCGGCTCGACGAGCTCGATCGGTGATTATTATTAATCGCAATCGTAGTCGATCTATATATCTGCGTCGAATCTGTTTTTATCAATCTCGATCGATCGGAAAGCGATTGATTTTTTCTTTCCTTCCAAAATTTCAATCAGCGAAACTCTCTGTTAAACCTCCCTGAACGAGGCGACTTCCGCCAACGATCGCTCTCGATTTGTTTGATTTCAATTAGTTACAGTTTCTTTTATTTAAATTCATTGAAGGTGTCGTTGTCTTGATGAACAACTACTGAGCAAACGATGTCTCCGATACGGAGACGATGGCGACCGAAGAAGAACGCACTCGCGCTCGTGCAACGCGCGGAACACGACTGAAGGCGCGTTGAGAGTGCCGGTTTGAGAGGAGGAATTGTGCCGGCTCCGGCGCGCGTTCAGCGACGTCGGTGTCACGCGCTCGCGCGCGCTTAACGCTCTCGCGCACGTGCCGCAACAGAAAGGATTCGCGAACTCATCCCCCCGGAACAAGGAAGAGTCGGGGAGGATATAACATCTCGCAGTCGCGTAAAAAGTTAAAGCGTAAATCCATATTGTGTCATATATATCGCTATTAACAAAATTATAATATAAATCATTTATATTCGTTATTTTGTTGAAACTCTGACTTTCCGAAAAGTTTTTCTTTTTGAAAAATGTTGTTTTTTCAAACGCGCGTAATGCATAATTCGTACTTGTCATAACTTATGTACGTGACTCGCGTAACGAGGATATTGTCCCCCGTGTCAGTCGAAGATTCATATTGTATTCTCATTAAAAGAGGCGAAGTACGATCGGTGATTTGATAAATGGATCAACGCGAGGTAGATGCTGACGTCAATAAAATGTTGGTACGCAATTGTGTTAGAGTTATCTCTGAGAGAAAGAGATTACGTTTTGTCAATTTTTTTTTTATTTTTTTTTTTAATAAATAAAGCTTATTGAAGCTCGATAAGTTACTAAACTAAGAAATAATTACGGTCATCCGAGCCGATCGCAGGATGTTGTGCGGAAAACTACGTATATATATATATATATATATATGCATATATATATTTGTTCGTATATATTTTTATATATTTTTTTGTTTATATATTTTTTTTTGTTTTTTTGTTTTTTTGTTTTTTCTAAAAGCACAAAAATCTTGTTAAGAACGAACGAGGCATATATGACTCTGAGAAAATACGACGAAATGGAAAGAAAATCGCTTATAAGCTCTAGGCGGGGTCAGCTTGAAAATTAAAGGTAAAGTGTGCGCGAGCGTATCTTCAGTCTGTGCACGTAATCTGTCGCTTCTTTCTTTAGTCGATGTCGACTATATACAGATATTTATTAGGATTTTCGGAGCTAACGGAAATATTTAGCGATTATTGGACAAACACACGTGTGATTGCGTTTCACGTATCTGTCAATCCTGAACAAATATACTTGTTGCGCTAACAAGTTGTCGTTGATTTTAACGAATTTGTCGCGTTATATATCTTGATCAATTTCGATCAGTTTGTTTTAATCCCGGTCAATTCGCGATCGGTCGCAATTCAAACGTTTAAATCCCAAAATAATATCTCGTTCAACTTTGATTTATTCCGGTGGGGATTATCGAGGATTATTCTTGCAAGCTTAGAATTCAACGGAAAGCACTTTCGATCGTTTAAATAAATCGAAACTATTGATTTTTCACAATGTAAATGTACAAAGTATACACAAATATTTGACAACTCAACAAAGTGAGGACGATTAATTATCGTCGAGCTTAGCGAACAAATAACAAATGCTTACATAATGTCTGAGGCAATTATATATGTATATATATATACAGGGTGTCCCAGAATTGGTGTAACATCTCTCGTAGGTAGGTAGAAGTAAAACTAAGTCAATGAGTTCTATACCATTTTGCTAGATTCGCAATAGTTACCGAAATCTTAATTAACCCTCGGGGAACACACCTATTTTTTCAATCAAGAAGAACAATCTGGGTCAATTTGACCCTGTCCACTTTTTGAGATGCTACCATTTAAAATGCACTCATCCGATTGGCTTGAAAAAATTTTCGGATATATTTTGAACAGTTTGGAATATGCCTATATAGTTTTAAAGTGTCGTTAACATTATTAATATTGTAAAAAATATCAGTATAAAAAATATCAGTATCAGGCTGCTCTTCAAACCCTGATGAAGTGAGCTGTAATGTTCACGAAACGTCGGTATAAAAATGACACTAACGCGGTTCAAACCCGAAAAAACATCTTTGTATGTTAATACTACACACCGCGAGAGCATCAAATATCAAATTGTAAAAAATATGTTACAAAAAAGCAAAATTGAAGCAAAATATTTTGATCAAAGTCGACGAACAGGGTCAAATTGACCCAGTGTGTTCTCCGAGGGTTAACAAAGATTCGCGAATAATCGCGTGCATCGGGCTGTCTTACGCGCTTAAGACAGCCCAGTGCGCTTCGCGGTGTTACTCGTAGCAGCATATATGGGAAGAGCTAATATAACAGCATATACTCTCTCTATAACATATACATATTAAAATGTAATTGTGCGAAGCGCGCCAGGCTGTTCTACGCGCGTAAGACAGCCCGACGCACGCTTATCTTTGTTAATTAAGATTTCGGTAACTATTGCGAATCCAGCAAAATGGTATAGGACTTATCGACTTAGTTTTGCTTCTTCTACCTGTCTACGAGAGATGTTACAGCAATTCTGGGACACCCTGTATATATGGAATATTAAATAAAATATTAAAGATAAAAGATAGTATGAGAAAAATCTCGATGATAACGACTCAAAAAAACACACCGAATCACTAACTAGCGCGACGGCCGACGACAGACTGAGCTACATTCTTTACAACGTTACTACCCCGAAAAACATACCCCCACCGACGTCTCAACATATCACGCGTAAACATTTCCCGTTTTTTGGAGTTGTATAAAGCGACATAAACATTCTTGCAATGTCGGTGGGGGAATGTTTTTCGGAGTAGTAACGTTGTAGTTCGGTCTGTCGGTGGTCGTCGCGCTGGTTAACGATTCGGTGTGTTTTTCGAGTCGTTGTTAATCGAGATTTTGTTTCGCGTGCGGTTGACGGAGATGCGCGAGACTGAGTTCTTCCTACACCTACAAATACCTTCCTGTAAGTTTTCAAAAAACCTTGTAATTGGGGTTACGCGTTAGTTCTGTTTAATATATTTGTTTATTGTCATATGTGGTACACTGAAGAAGAAAAAAAAAACTAAGAGTCGAAACGTTTGTTAAAAACTAAACAAAAATAAAGAAGATTTTTTCGCAATATTTTATAAATTAATTAGAGGGGTATTCGGGGTCCTTTTCACATATGTAATGCAAAATTAGCATTGTATGTGATTTTTAGAATTGAAATTTCAATTCGAAAAACTCACGTGAAAAATTTACACGTGAAAGCGTATAGAAAAATGTATTCTTACATTTATACGCACATTTATCCGCACAACATCCTGCGAACGGCTCTTTACGACCATTCATTTATTAGTTTAAAAATAAAGAAGTTTATTGACCCGAAGATCTGGTTATTGCCTCGAATTGGCCACTTTCCTACCGGCATAATATTTCACGAGGAAGAATACACAAGTTATTTATTTTTTATAATTTTTGTACATATAAATGTTTCGCAAAACAGTTTATAAGATAACAGGTGTGTAATGGCGTAATATAATATTCGACATGAAGAAATGTGGCGCGATACACTGTAAAAAAAAGTGTGTGCAAATTTCCACGAAGAAATATTACGCCATTAGTATGATATAAAAATGTAACTTTAACCAAACATATCTTTTTACTCTAAAATGTGCAAATGTACGCTTTTAGTCGATAGATAAATTCAAATTAATAAAAATAATACACGCGTGACACATAAACACGTGAATAATTATACTTAAATAATATTTGTCATGCAAATTCACAACGTTAAAACACGTCGCGTTACATTATTTCACGTGAAAAGCTCGTGAATTTGCAATATGCGTTTGAAAAGTTGCAACTACTTTTGTTGTCGGTCTCAATGTTGAGAAAAATTTTTTCTCGTCAAAATGTTTTACATCAAAGTGTTTTTTTTACAGTGTACTATTGCAACGTGCATTTAAAGCAATCTTTTTCCCATAACTTTCATTATGTCAGATTTAATACCGGGAAAATATTCCTTTCCGTTTTTGTCGACAATGTCGGTGAACTTTTTCTCCAGAAATATCTCGAATCCCGCGTTCGCCGCTGATTTTTGCGAGAATATCGACGTAAACATCGTGGACGTTGCCGGGATATTGTATTCGCGACCGATGTGGCTCCTATATTGAAATTTAATCAACGCGAATCGCGATTATTATTCGTACATAAACGTTTTCAAAAAGAAAGAGATTGATTGTTTTTTTTTTTAAAAAGATTATACAGCTTTTTTACAATAGTTTTGAATCATAAATATGCAACAAGATAAAAACCAAGATAAATACCTGATTTTTAGAATATCCGTGCCAAGTCCGTATCCACGAAACTCGGGTGTTATGCTGAGTCTAATAGCCTATAGATACTTGTCTATTTCGTAACGATCGTACACTATCTTGGTTAAGTTCACGAAAAACGTATCCTGCCACCTTTCCGACGAAAACTTCAATAATAATTATATTTAATTACTTATAATCGATACTCCTACACTGATAACATAACAGTTATGATAATGCATCTGTCGAAACTTTTCTGTTGGCGCGCGTGATATTAAAAGTAAAAAAATCATCTTAAAAACTTAGATTCACGTATACCGATTGTTACAAACGACGTAAAATTTTCGTAGATACTTTATTTGCTGTGTACACTGTGCACCTATTATAAACAAATAACTAAGCGTTGATTGTGACAACAGGTTAAGAAATTCTGGGTGTAGCCACAGCCATATAGTTAGCGAATTGCTAATTCTCGTCTGAACAATTACGCTTGCTCGTTAAAATTGCTTTCTATCATGCACGTCTTTAAAACTGTAACACCGTGAAATGTACGTAAACATCTTTGATGAAAATTAATGTAATATATAATTACTGTACCTTAAAGTTTAGGACAGCGTCTGTTTTATCTTTGTAATTAAGACCAAGTGCGTTTATGCCCGCGAGTATGGATTTTCCGCCGTCGGGATTGTCGGTGAACGCTCCTACAGATATACCTTGCGACAGCAAGAGACGCCACAATGTGCTAATCTCTTTTACAAATGCGGGATCATCTTTGGAATCTATGAGAACGAAGCATAGCAAAATCACACAAAGCGCAATATACTAATGTACTCTGAATAATATTATAATTATAACTTAACAATTTTATAATTATAAAATTGTTTTTTATATTTCTTAGTATATTTCTGTCTACATTTCCTTTGAAATCTGAGGTAAACATCGGTAACAATTTTGATATCAATGAAATATCTAATTTTAAAGATAATCGTGGTTTTTATAATTATTATTTACTTTTTGTGTTGTATGTTGAGTCTAAAATTTCAAAGTAAAAATTATTTGCGTAAATAATATTAAACAAATAAAAAAAACTCTCTTCGAAACAAAACTTACTCGAACACGCGCAGGTCGGTTCGTCAGCCAAGAAGTGTGTGCACATATGTTGAACCGCTTCCTCGTATCTGTCCTCAGGAATCTCTTGAATCGTGAATTTTTTCCGTTTCCCGTTCTTACCTACTTTTTCGATTACTTCCCAAACTTTGGGCGGCTGTGTGGATGACCTAACGCACGCTACACTACTCATTTTTTTTTTTAATTTGCACCGCTTTCCCAGTTCATTTTCTACATAAATGTTCGCACACGGATGACATTGAATCAAACGTCACGGAAATGAAAGATTCTCGACAATAGTTTTATCCGCAACAGGCGTGAATTTACTTACGCGTGAGTACGCTTCTGTATGAATTAATGTGTGTTAATATATGGCGCAACTCACTTGCAATTGTCTACTACACAGTTGTAAATTTATAAAAATTTTGGCGGTTATAAATGAAATGCGCGTGTTCGACGATCTGTTCACTGAACGGCTTGCGTCAGTCGAATGGCGTGAATTCTCTATCAACTACGATAATTATCGACGTTTTGCAGCACACATGTGCAGAATGTAAGCAAGGCAATCTTGTCAAAAAAGTAAAAATAGTGTTATCGTCTTCTCTCGTTATCTTGTTTGATACACGAATTTTTCTTCTTCATTATTTTTACTAAACTCGCCAGTGTCTTATCAGTAATCCACCACATGGACGGATGTGACATAATTACCAATTATTGTTGTAGAACATGTTAATAAAACGTAATAAAAACGTTATTAAAACCGTTATATATATATGGCAAAATAAAATACACACATGAATGTATATGTGCGTGTCCGTGTACACATATTAGTTATTTTGTGTTTGTTTGTTTTTTGTATAAAAAATTCTTCCGTAACCAGATACTCACACGTACATGTGTGTTTATAGGACAAGCCTATAATTTTTTTCTGTATTACAAAATTACAGAAGTTATTATTCAAAATCTACTTGTGTAAAGAAAGAAAAAGAAAGTACATATGAAACATATAATAATTGCGCTTATATGTGTATTTTATATTTTCTCTCTCTCTCTTTTATATGTGTACTAATGAATATACCCACATAGCGAGTAAGTATGATGATTGTGTAGTGACAGATGATATTGCGATTACACACTTTGCACGATATTTCTGTTTAATACTTGGAAATGTAAAAAACCCAATTTCTACGCTTAGTCCGCACGACCTATGTGACACGGAATATATATATTAACTCATACTGATAATGAAGCGAGTTAGGATAATCGTAAATTTATCCGCGTCTTATCAACGCGTACGTACGCATTTTTTTCTTCTTATGCAAAATGATTTTTATTACTGCTGTTTTAAAAAAAACTCATACCTTTGTTCTTCAATGATATTATCTTTCTTTTATAATAAACTTTCAAACATGATTGTTAATAAAATTTGAATAGCAACCCTATATATTGTAAAGAAGAGTACAACACTGTTTCCGAACAAAATACTATCTAAATTTGTTTTCGAATCAAAATAAAGTAAAAGATGCTTGTTCATTGATGTGCGTGTACATAAAACATACTTGGTCTGATTGTGAGTAATTTAACGTGTACATAAACCATACTTGATCTGAGTGTACAAACAAAGTGGTGCTGGTCATATTGATGATGCTTTATTGAGTAAAAACATTTGTGAAAACTATAAAACACACATACACAAAAAACATCAAAAATGTAAATTATGCGACTTACTGAGAGTAAAGCTGCAACAATTAAACCGTTTAAAAACAATTTAACGTTTGTAACGTTGCGTTAACAAGAAAAATATTTCCAAATGCAAGAAGAGATACAAATAATAACAAATAATACTTGTCACGCACGTTCATAATGGTAAAAAACGTCACGTTACATTATTTCATGTAAGCGCGTAAATTTACAATATGAGTTTAAAAAGTTGCTACTTTTCAAACTATTTTGTCGTCAATCTCAATATTATTAAAAATATTCTCTTTTATTGTCGAAATGTTTATATTAACATTTTTTACCATGTACTATTTTGTACGTGCATTTAAAGCAATCTTTTTCCCATAATTTTAACTACGTCACATTTAACACCAGGAAAACGTTCTTTTCCGTTTTCGTCGACAATGTCGATGTACTTTTTCTCCAGTAATACCTCGAATCCCGCGTTTGCCGCTGATATTTGCGAGAATGTCGACGTGAACACCGTGCACGTTGCCGGGATATTGTATTCGCGACCGACGTGGTTCCTATATCAAAATGTAATCGACGCGGAGTTTAATTATTATTGACATATAAACAATTACATATAAATGTCTTTAGAAACGAAAAGGTAGATTGTTTTCTACAAGAAAAATTTTTCAGCTCTTTTTATGTAGTTTTAAACCATACAATTGCAACAAAAGAAAACAATCTACTACGTCTATTGTGTCAACACGTTAAATTAAAGCGCTTGAGATAAATACCTGATTTTTAGAATATCCGTGCCTAATCCGTATCCTCGAAACTCCGGTGTTACGATGAGTCCAACGGCGTTCAGATACTTGTCTATTCCGTAACGATCGAACACTATGTCGTTCACATCCCAGGCGTCCAATGGAGTTTGGCGATTTTTCGATGAACAACACTGCAATAATAATTATTTTTATTCACTTATAATCGGTACTCTTACACTGACAACATAACAGTTATGATACTGCATATGTTAAAATTATTTCTGTTGGCGCGCGTGTTACTAAAAGTAGAACAATCATCTCAAAAAACTTAGATGATTGACGCATGATTGTGTTACATACTGACGTAAAAATGTCGTAAACAATTTCTATACTGTGTACATCGAGCATCTATTGCACACAGATAACTAATTGGCGTAGTTACATTACAAAAGAGTTGATTGAAACAACACGACAAGCGATACAATATGTGGCCACGGCTATAGTTAACGGATTGTTATAATTGTTGTTTGAACATCTACGCTTGCTCGTTAATTACTGTTTATTGCGTATATCTTTAAATGTGCAATCGGTTAAATATATAAATACTATTACAGAAAACTAACATATTAGATACCTTGCAATTTAAAATGGCGTCTCTTTTCTCTTTGTACTCAATAAAAAGTACGTTTATACCCGCGAGTATGGGTTTTCCGCCGTCGGGATTGTCGGTGAACGCTGCTACAGATATACCTAGCGAAAGCGATTCACGCCACGTTGTACTGAAGACTTTTACGAATTCGGGATCATTTGCGGCGTCTATGAGAATGAAAAATAGCAAAACACAAAGCGCAATATACTAATATAAACGCAAATAATTATACTTATTGTAATTGTATAAAATTATTTCATTTCCGAATATATTTCTTCTGAGATCAGAAGTAAATTTCATAATAATTAGGTAACAATTTAGATACCAAGTAAATATCAAGTTAAATATAAATGTGGTTTTAATAATTATTATTTAGTTTTGCGTTGTATGTTGAGTCTAAAATTTATTAATAAAAAGTACTTGCGTAAATACTATTAAACAAATAAAAAAAGTCTCTTCACAACGAAACTTACTCAAACACACGCAGACCGGTTCGTCAAGCAAGAAGTATGTGCCCATATGTTGAACAGCTTCCTCGTATCTGTCCTCAGGAATCTCTTGAATCGTGAATTTTTTCCGCTTTCCGTCCTTACCTATTTTTTCAAGTACTTCCCAAACTTTGGGCGGCTGTCCGGATGGCTTGATACGCTTCATATTACTCATCATTTGTTTTAAATTTGCATCGCTTTCTCAGTTCATTTTCCGCATAAACGTTCGTGTCGGATGACATTTGAATCAAACGTCATGAAAACAAAATATTCTCAACATTATACCGCAGCTGTTAAGTGAAGCAACGTACCTTGTAAACATGTCACGTTACACGAGCAAGATAGATATAGCTACATGAAGTCTACACGATTACGCGAGCTCAACTCTAAATTATTATTGATTTGACACAAGTACTACTCTAAAGAATATAATTGAACAATATAATTAAATTTAATTGTTTTTTTGGTAACGTGTCGAATTCAAAGATTAAAGCTGAGTTTGTTGCCAAATCCAATATATTACATACTTACGTTACAATAACAATAACATACGTAATATATGACAAATAGCATGTAAACGTTCAACCATAACAAAAAACAAAATATAAGACATTGTATGGAAAAGCGTGTAAATTGCACGTAAAACGCGTATTGAAAATTTTATAAACAGATTATATGTATTAGCCGCGCAAAATTCTGGCGTATTTGCGCTTTAATCGCACGTAACACAACGAAATGTCACAAATTATAGTTTTGATCTTATCTGCTGTCTGTAAGCTTTTACATACATACAAAACAATTAATAATTAAAAAAAATAGTTTTATCCGTAACAGGCGTAAATTTACTTACGTGTGAGTACGCTTCTGTGTGAGTTAATGTGTGTTAATATATGGCGCAACTCAATTGCATAATTGTCTATTAGTTGTAAATTTATAAAACTTTTGCGCGGTTATATATGTAATGCGCGTGTGCGATCTGTTCACTGAACGGCTTGCGTCGGACAATTGGCGTGAATTCTGTATGAACTACAATGTTTTATTTTAAATGTTTCGCAGCACACATGTGTTGGAGCAAGGCAATCTTGTCAAAATAGTAAAAATAATGTTATTGTCTTCTTTCGTTATCTTGTTTGATATACGAATGTTTCTTTTTCATTATTTCGATTACATTCGGCATTGTCTTACCCACACAACACGAGTGACTGATTGTCGACTTAGAGTCGACCTTTTTCAGTCAACTTATAGTCAACTTTTAAGTTTGACTTTGTGACTTTTAGAAGGCGACTTAGAATTGACTTTCGAAAGTCGACTATAAATTGACTAGAGTCACCTATTTGCCGACAATTAGATGGCTTTTAAAGTGTAAATTAAACATAATTATTGTCGACTTCAACATAATTGCATTTAATCAGCATGGTGTTGAAGGCTCCAACTATCCAAGATAAACACGGTAATATGACAAGACCAATGAAAGCACGAACACTGTTGTTTGTATGTTAAAAAGTTATTGAATATATAGAGTGTACAAACGTTTCACCACACAAAAAACAGTGTTCGTCCTCCCATTGGTCTTGTCACATTACTGTGTTTATCTTGGATAATTGTATTTGTCATCGCGCTAACATATATATTTATGCATTTGCGTATATCTGACGTTTCCAGTCTCATTAAATGTCAATTAATTATTGTGAACATTGCGTCGACTGTTTTTTAAGTATATTTTGAGAGTATTGAAAATTATTGAATAATTTACTATTTTCTCTCGTCGATTTAAAGTTACCTTAAAGTCGACTTTTCAACGGTTGATTGTAAGTCGACGGCAGTGTTTACAGTTTTTGAGACGCTTACAGCATGCAGCAGCGTGAAGAGGATACGCACAACACCAGCAAGCATGCTGTAAGCTCTTAAGAGGATGCTGAACCGCTGGCAAAAGTTCGCTCAGCTGCTATTCAACCGCTATCCTATCGGGTAGGTGGTGTCATCTATCGAGACCCAATCAAACCAAAACAAGGATAAATTACATGGAAGAGCCAAGGTTAGACAAATGTTTCTCTTCGACGCTTCTGCTAAAATTGTACTACTCGTACTTGGAATTTTTCTTGTCTCACAAGGCTTCAAAATCTTTTTTGAAGCACTCAAAATATTCGTTCTATGTTGCTAGTTTGGGATAAAGGTATTTTTATTTGGATTTATACGGCCCATTTTGCATTAAGAGTAAAAATGTAGTTTTTGTAATAACAGTCTATAAAGTTTTTTTTGTTTTTCTTAAAGTTTTATGCTTTATCTCATTCTTTACTATATTTTCTTTATATCTGGAGAAGCATGTTTTATTCCGAGTCATAGGTTTCACAAAAAGTTCTAAATACGACATGAGGGTAAAACAGGAAAGTTCAACATTCTTTTAAGAGAGTACTTGGATACCGATTATAAATACATGTAAAGCGACGTTTAATTATTTGATTTTGTGTCGTATTTACTGCATTAAATCCAAAATACTTCTCCAAAATTAAGTACATTGTCTTAAGAAAGTGCGCTTGTTTTTTAAAATGTTAAAATTCAGGATAAATTTTTTCTCTTATACAGTTTTCTTCTTTAACCTCACTATATGTTCATGTATGTAAAATTATTTCTAAGCTTCTGTACGTATTTACACTGAACTGACACTAAGTACGACAAAAAAGAACATAATGACACTCAGATTATGATGTGACTACTTAATTAATGAGATAAGTACTAATATTGTGATGACAAAATAAGTTATCATGTTATCATTATGAATAAAAAAAAAGTTTAAAATAGTAGTATATCTCATTTTTAAAAGCACTATTTAGTTACTTATATTTATGTCCTTCTGTAGAAACATTTTTCATGTGATGCAGTACACAACATTAGAAAGTAGAGAACTTTAAGTTTCTAAACCGTCGATTGACAGGTCTTCATAGTCGGTATCAAGTACTCTCTTAATAATGTGAACGCTGATTGATTTAATAGTTATTATTTGATATCTCTGTGTAGCACAGCAAATGTATGTAAAATTCAAAATTACTCAAAAATTGTAAACTCATATTAAAATTTATTATTTAGACAGGTTAGAAAAAAAATAACTGTGTAATTCTTGATAATTCAACTTATATATATTTTTCTCTGGGATAATTTTCAATTTTTACAAACACATTTATTGTGCTACTCTGAATAACCAAAATTGATTATTATAAGACGTCCCAGCTAACCAAAATTGGTAAATCAAATAACTGAGTATTCTTTATAGTAACTTACGTTACTACTTAAGTTTTTATAAATAATAACGTAAGTTACTATTATAACTAATGACGTAATATAAATAATAAAAATAATACCGTAAGTTATTAAGTTATTTATAGTAATTTAAGTTACTATACTAAATAATACTCAGCTATGTGATAGTTACATTCAACTTTTTTTATTTTAGCGGGCAATGATGTCTGTAAGATATTTTGTAGTTATGCAGTGTGCCATACGTTAACAAAAAGATAAAACGTTACTTATCTAGACAATAACTATTTAATTAGTTAAGCTAGGAATACTCGAGTTATAGATACCTTTTAGTCCACAAGTACTCGTTAAAGTTACCTTATAATCGACTCGTCGCTTATAAAGTCGATCACTAGTTAACTCAATCTACTTCTAGTCAATTTTAAATTAACTTACAGTCGACTAATAGTCACCTCGGATAGTCGACTATTTTTTGAACATTCGTCATCTTTTAGTTGACTATAAGTCAACATACAGACTGACTTAAAAGTCGACTCTTGAGTTCTCCAGTCGACTTATAGTCAACTTTTAGTTGACTTCGTGTTGTTTGGATTATCAGTAATACACCACATGGACAAATGTGGCATAATTATCACTTATTGTTATAAAACATGTTACCAAAACATAATGAAAACTTTATTAAAAACGTTATATGTATATGGTAAAATAAAATATACACATGAATATATGTGTGTGTCTGCGTACACATATTAGATATTTTGTGTTTGTTTGTTTTTTGTATAAAAAATTATTCCGTAACCAGATACTCACACGTACACGTGTTTTTATAAGACACGCTTATAATCTTTTTTTGTGTTACAAGATTACAGAAGTTATTATTCAAAATCTAAATGTAAAGAGAGAAAAAAAAAGTACATATGAAACATATACTAAATGCGCTTATATGTGTATTATATACTTTCTCTCTCTCTATTTTATATGTGTAGTAATGAATATACACACATAACAAGTAAGTATGACAATTGTGTAATGACAGATGATATTGCGATTATACACTTTGCGCGATATTTCTGTTTACTACTTAAAACTGGTAAAAACACACTTTATACGCTTAGCCCGCACGACCTATGGGACACGAAATACATATATTAACTCATACTGATAATGAAGCGAGTTAGAATAATCGTAAATTTATCCGCGTCTTATCAACGCGTACGTAAGCATTTTTCTCTTCTTATGCAAAATGATTTTTATTAGTGCTGTTTTAAAAAAAACTCATAACTTTGTTCTTCAATGATAATATGTTTATTGTATAATACTTTCAGACATGATTGTTAATACGGTTTGAATAGCAAACCTATATATTGTAAAGAACAATACAACACTGTTTCCAAACGAAGTACTATCTAAATTTGTTTTCGAATCAAAATAAAGTAAAAGGTGCTTTTTCATTGATGTTCGTGTACATAAAACATACTTGGTCTGATTGTGAGTAATTTAACGTGTACATAAAACATACTTGATCTGAGTGTACAAACAAAGTGGTGCTGGTCATACTGATGATGCTTTACTGAGTAAAATCATTTGTGAAAACTATAAAACACACATACACAAGTAACATCAAAAATGTAAATTATGCGACTAACTGAGAGTAAAGCTGCAACAATTAAACCGTTGGAAAACGGTTTAACGTTTGTAACGTTACGTTACCAAGAAAAATAATTCCAAACGCAAGAAGCGATACACCTAATCACAAATAATACTTGTCACGCACGTTCATAATGGTAAAACACGTCACGTTACATTATTTCACATAAGCGCGTAAATTTACAATATGAGTTTAAAAAGTTGCTACTTTTCAAACTATTTTGTCGTCAATCTCAATATTATTAAAAATATTCTCTTTTATTGTCGAAATGTTTATATTAACATTTTTTACCATGTACTATTTTGTACGTGCATTTAAAGCAATCTTTTTCCCATAATTTTTAGTACGTCAGATTTAACACCAGGATAACGTTCTTTTCCGTTCTCGTCGACAATGTCGATGTACTTTTTCTCCAGAAATACCTCGAATCCCGCGTTCGCCGCTGATATTTGCGAGAATAGCGACGTGAACACCGAAGACGTTGCC